CCTTGACTTGATCTCGCGGCAGCGGCCACTGCCGCGTCACGCAGTACTTGGTTCCAGGCGCGAGGTCGATCTCGTGGTGCACCCCGCGGTCTGCAGGAAGCTCCGCGGGGATCTTGTCCGGAAATACATCCGCATATTCGCGTACGAGTTTATAGGCAGGATTACCGGACGCTTTCAGTGCTTCCCACGATTGCGCGGCGAAGCGCTCTTCACGCGCCGACTTCGCTCGCTGACTGCATTAACGCCATGCACCTCCTCTCGCTCAGTGATGAGACACACTTGCTCGAGCTCACCAACCTTGAGGTCGCGGAGGAAATGCTTCCAGGAAAGGCCTGGAAGGCAAGTCAGCGAAGGGGCGTCGCTCGGCGGGTTGGCGACTGCTATCGTGCGCTGGCGATTGGGCGCACCCTCCACATACTCTATCACACTGACAGATTCCGTTGTGGAGGGCGATATCGTATCCGTGAGACGGGGCTGCAGACGGCGGCGCTTAGACTTCTTCTTACGTTTGGAGACAGAACTCGAAGAGGATGTGGTGCTATCGCTTGACGATGACTTACCTCCCTCCAGGTGTGAGAGGCCACGTTCGATCACACCGGTGATACGCGGGTGTACACCAGACTCTTCCGCGCCATCATCACGCGGGAGCGACACATGCTCGACTGCGTTCTCGATTGGAGACGGGAACCCATGCTCAACCTTCAACTCACAGTGCGACGGGAACACACGCTCGACCGTCGACTTCGACTTCATGTGCGGGAGCTCATGCTCGACCGCTGATACACGCTTCGATGGGAACTCACGCTCGACCATCGCCTCGTTCGCTGGCAGGAGCCCACGCTCGACCACCAACTGGTTCTTCGGCGGGAACACACGCTCAACCACCGTCTCATGTTGTGGTGGGAACCCATGCTCGACCACCGACGCTGTCGTCGACGGGAACCCATGCTCAACCGTCGACGTATTCTCCTCGCGCCACTGCGAGAAGTTCTCAACTCCCAAGTCATCCAGAAGCACCGCACAGGTCGTACAGAGAGGGCCATCGCTCGCTCTGCGTACTGCTCTCGTCGTGGAAGATTGATCCACGACGGTGACGTGCGGCCAGTCCCTTAGTGAAACCAAGAGATGTGTGAGCACCTCGCTGACATCGTAGTCGCGTCGACGCTTGACGGACCTTGCAAACCAGTCGATCTCAGGACGATACCGGGCTAACCATGGCATGCCAAGAATGCAGTCGAACGCGTAATTCATCTCGATTACCAAGAAAGTGTCACTACTGGAGAAGCCATCAAACATGTATGGCAGGGTAATCTCGCGCCGCGCCACGCGGTGCGGCTTTCCGTCAGCGAGTTTCACGACAATCTCGCTGTCTCCTTGACGGACGTGGACGTCCGATGGCAACACCGACAAGCACGACGCGCGAAAGAAGTTATTCGTCACTCCAGAGTCAAGGAGCGCGCGCAGTGGTCGCCGGGCGCCGGCGACATTGGAGACTGACAATGATTAGTCTCGAGTCACCATTCGCGGTGGTGGCATTACAACGTGCATGTAGCACAGGAGGGCTAGAAGGTTCGGGTGCCACCGGTGGAGCCGGACCTCCATTCCAGCCAGTAGGGC